TGGGAAAATGAGGGAAGACTAGCCAGACAAGAAATTAAAAGGCTGTTAAGATTTCTGTTTCATTCTTCTTCTTTTTCTTAATCTGATATATACAGATATTAAATCTATTTCTCTGTCACTCTGTGACAGCAATTCAGGAATCTCTCTGCAATGCAAAATTGCTCAGTCTATTCACTCCTCTCCAACAGTATTTCATATATGATTTTTATACCATTACAATCTTATTTTCTTATCACATTTCTTTCCACCTCTAAAATACTGGTTTGTTGGGAGCATACCATGTATGTGATCATTTTTATATTTTGTCCAGAAAAAACAGTTATTGGTACATAACTGTTACCACACAGTTATGACTATTAGACTATTAGACTCTAATAGTCTAATTAATATTAAATGTATTGAGGAATGGATAAATAATAGATGTTACAGGGATGGATAAAGACTAGAAGAGAAACAGATTGATCATGGAAATTTTGAGGGAAGCATGAGCCCACAGAACAGAAGGAGAGTAATTGTCTTCTCATTGATTGGAAGAAGAAAGGGGTAGGTTAAGAGAAAAGGAAAAGAATTAAGATCCCTTGTATATGTCAACATTTGTTAACCATCTTATATATAATGTTATATAATACCAGAAAAAATGATATAGATGTCTTTCTCTTATTAACAAAAATGACCCCTCAAGGTAAACTGTATTTCAAAAGTAAAAGAGTTAGATACAGATTCAAAATTAAAAACCAGATTTATTAACTACAAACTGTCTTATTTTTTATTTAACCATAAACCATTAGAGAAACCAGGCTCATGAGAAAATTTGAACAGTTGGACAGTATAATTTCCTCTTTTTAAAATATAAGAATTGCATGCATATATATATTGCATGCTAAATCATATATATATATGATTTAGAGGAGGAACAGAAAAATAAGTAAAAGGAAGAAAAGTGTCTTCATAGTTTTAAAAAGAATGTGTGTGTAGATTCAGTCCATGTGTGTTTAAAAGAATATATGAATGTCCACATGTCTGTATTGTATGTGTGTCTCTATGAGCTGGTGTATATAGAAAGGAATTTTGGAATGACAGAGTAATTAAGAAATTACTCTTCTTAAAAAACAGATAATTATTATCTTCTGTTATTTGAGTTGTAGTCATAAAGGACAACAAGATGACACTGGATGGTGTGAGGGTTAGGAGGAGAAGAGACAGTAGCTCATTTTGTTGGTGAAGAACTTGTTTCCTACAGAATGCAGAACAATGGACAGGAAAAGGATCAAAGGGCCTTTTCTCCAGACCCAGTGAGCTCATACACTCTGGAACCAGTTTTAGGACAAATTTTGCTCCTCAGTTCATCAAGGTTTTCTCTGCGTTGCCCACTAACCAGAAAAATAGGCTAGAGCTTTCTATCTTTAGTTCTCTATTTGATTGGCCAGGCAGGAGGTAACATCTTCCAATTCATATACAGAAAGCTAGGTTAAATGAGGATATTATCCCACCAACTCAATAACTCAGTGATTCAAAGGTCAACATCCCTGCCTTGTGTTATCAGTGATGGTATAGATCCATACTCTTCATTTATAAATACCCATCTTCTGTTTATTTATCAACGCTGAAATCTATTTTTTAAACCTCACCCAAAGGTATGTTTACTGATTTTAGAAAAAGAGGAAGGGGAAGAGAGAGACAGAGACATCAGTGTGAAAGAGAAACATCAATTGGTTGCCTCTGGGACATGGCCTGACTAGGGATAGAAACTGCAAATTAGGTATGTGCCCTGACCAGGAATTGAAACCACAACCTTTTGGTGTATGGGATGATGCCCCAATCAACTGAACCACCTGGCCAGGGTGACGTTGAAATCTACTCTTTTCTATAATCTAGAACCTGCCTTGACAGCTCCAGGCCATATTAACCTGAAACTTACCCTCTGCTTCTAAATCTCTGCACCATTTAATGCTTATACCTTTCATTTGACTCTTAATTATGGTTGACAGTAGTAATTTTTATATGCAAGTGTCATCTCTTTTATCTGCCTGACATGTGAGTCTTTTAAAAGATTTCATATGCCTGTTTATCATCTCTCAATGTGAGCTACTAAAGTAGGATCTGGAATAATAGAGAGCTTCAGTTAATAATGCTGAATGACTGTTCAATAATCTTGACCACAGACAGACAGTTCTGGGCCCTATTTCTTTTGCTCTTCTATCTTTCCCTCATGTCTTCCATAATCTAATTTCCATTTCTTCCAGGCTCCATTACACTCCTCCATTTCTCCATCCCACCTTACTTGTACCTTTCTTCATTTAATCACTTATCACTGTTCCCTCCTTCTTCATTCTTTAATCCCTCCCCTTCTGTCCCTTTGCATTTATGCACTCTTCTTACCTGCTTATACTGTGGGAAACACGACCAACTTCATTTCCATCACAGGACAGGAACTAAACCAGCTCCCAAGGGTGTGAGCTTTATAAGCAGCTTAGTAGAGTCACCAGGCAACAGAGAGCTATTTTCATTAATGAGTGAGTATACTGGTTGTAGCAAGAGTTGCAGGACCCATATGAATGTGTTCCTCTGCAACAGCTCAGACATATCTCCCTGACACATGTTCAAACCTTGCTCAGGGGCTCAAGCAAACTCCATACATCAGGGGCTATAAGTAGAGTTCTGGAGCTGGAGGCTGACAGTAATGGATACCTTCAAAAGCTGCCTGCCTGGGTGAGACAACTACAACATCCTTCTTCACCCTGCCTTAGGCTACAGATTCTCAGCCAAGGCAGCTCCCTGGATTTCAGACAGAGATCTGGAGAATGAAAAAAGGAGTCACCCTCTGGTGTTTGTTTGTTTATTTGTGGTTTTTTCCCCAATGTTCCCCTGGCTATTCCTCTCACTCGGGTACCTCTCCTAAGAAGCCACCTCATTACCTGAGTCACATCTACAGCCCATCTCCCCTTCCAAACATCTGATAAACTCATAATACATAACAAAAATTACACTTTACCCTTTAAATACATTGTTGTATTTATTCATTATCAAACATGAGTTAAGTATTATTCTCCATTATTTTGCAATTAAAGAAATTGAAACTCAGGTGGGTTTTAAATAAATTTACTTAACTAAAAGTTAGCAAGTTAGCTGATATTTAAGCCCATGTCTATCTTACTTTAAAGCTCTTTCTGATCTTAACCAATATTGCTGTACTACCTTCTGTGGTCAATTCCTTCCACTCATATATTCAGGAAATATGGTTCCAACACATTGTCTTCAACTCATTCATCATATGGATTGCTTGATCCCCAACTGCATGCCCACATCTGGTTTAAGGCTCATTTGACCAGAATTTACCTCTCTATCATAAGCACTAGATAATGTTGACCATATCTAATAATCACTGACTTTTTTTATCTTCCTTAAAACATTTTTCCATTCGTATTCTCACTATATTTTTATCAGGAACACTGAGCAAAGCTGACTATCCCAATGACTAGACAGACTAAGTCCATAAAGTTCCATAGTAAGTAATGTTCAGATTCATACACAAGGTGTGGCAAAAGTAGGTTTGCAGTTGTGAGTACACAAAACACAGTTTAGTCTTATATTATGATTTATTAATTATTGTATTGTTTTATATGGAAAACTATAAACTGGTTTCCATCAGGAAAGATGCATGCTTTTGGAAATTTTGAATGAGACTTACTAATATTAAATGAGACAAACAAGATGGAAAGCATAAGAATGATCTTGATAAAGTAAAATTTTTACTCATTGTTTAGTTCAAAAAATACATATTGAGTGTCCTCCATATGTTCTAAAGTAGAATCTAAACTACATTGAGTACTTGGGATAGACTGAACTGAAACAAAAAGGGTTTCTGTTTTTATAAAGTATATAGAATAGCAGGGAAAATGTGCTGCTAGGCAATTATATACTGTGTGAGAAACTCTAACATAGTAAAAGGCATGTCAGAAAAGCCTTCTGGACTGAAGTGAGGTTGACACAGATAACTAAAGTGTATAGAGAGCTCCTTAGTTATCTGGGCCACTGAATGCTGTATGCTTTCATGCTCTTCATGTGCTATTTTCTTTTTAATATGTTTCTGTCTTGCTTCCAACCCAATGCACATATACACATTACTTTTATTTAAAAAATACTTCAAGAACATATAAATAGACAGAAAAGGCAAAAGAAAATAAATATGCCATTATCCACATTGAATACAAGAGTGATCACAATAGAACAAAAACAATCTGGAAATTTTTATTGAAAAAAGTGGTTAAACAATAATATAGCATAAAATGGAATACTACTCAGCAAGAAAAGAAATTAATTACCAATACAAAAAACAACATAGGTGAATCTCAAATGCATTGTGCTAAGAAGCCAAACATAGAAGACTACATACTTCAGGGTTCCAAGATACCCTGGAAAAAGAGGAATTATAGGCATGGAGAACAAATCAGTGTTTGCCAAAGAGTGGGTATGGATAGAGAAGTTGACTACAAAGGGGCATCATGAAGGCATTTGGGGAAGTAATGTAATTTTTTGGTACATTGGTGTCAGTGGTGGTTCATGGTTCATATGTTTGTCAAAGCTTACAGAACTATATACCAAAAAGAGTAAATCTGATTGTATGTAAGTGCTGAAAAAGTTTTTATACACCATTTTGAAGTTCAATTTTTATCAAGCTATCTAATATAAATTCCTGATTTCATCAAAACTGTTATTCAATGGCATGTCATAATTCATTAGATTTTTACTCTTTAATAGAGTAGCTATAAGCTACAAGTGACTTTAAGTTGACATTTCAATTAGTTAAAATTTTAACATTTATATCCTTGGTTACGCTAGCAAAGTTTCAAGTGCTCAATAAGCATGCATGACTAATAGTTACTGTATTCAACAACAGAGATTCAGACCATTTCCACTACTACATAAATTTCTACTGGACAGTGTTATGTTTGACACTCTTCTCTGACTTGATTGCATTTTCACAGAAGTAGTAGACATTATTAAGGAGCAATCCTGCCCCCACAAAACATTTGGACAATCCGCCGCCTGATCTGCTTTGTTCTAACACTGTATACAACAGGATTGAGCACAGGAGGGAGCAATAGGTAGATACTGGCCATGAGTGTGTGTACTACTGGTGACAAGTGCTTCCCAAATCGGTGAATCAGAGTCATGACAATGAGAGGCACATAGAACAGTAGCACTGCACAGATATGAGAGAGGCAGGTGTTGAGAGCTTTGAATCTCTCTTCCTGGGAAGCAATGTACAATACTGCCTGGATGATTAGAATGTAAGAGACCAAAAGGACCAAAGCATCTAGTACAATAATGAAGATCACAGCCAGCAGGCCATAGATGCTATTGACACGGGTGTCAGCGCAGGCAAGTCTCATGGCATCCTGATGAAGGCAGTATGCGTGAGATAGGATGTTGGAGCGGCAGAAAGGTAGCCTTCTGATGAGGAAAGGCACAGGGAGCACAGCCACCACACTCCGCAGCAGGACTGCTGCTCCAATGCTGCCAATGACGCCATGAGTGAGAATGGTAGCATAGCGCAAAGGGAAGCAAATAGCCACAAAGCGATCAAAGGCCATGGCCACCAGAACCCCTGACTCCACTCCCCCAAAGGTGTGAATAAAGAACATCTGAGTGATGCAGGCATCAAAAGTTACTGAGTACCAGCTGAACCAGTGAACACTTATCATAGTGGGCATGGAAGATAGTGAAAGGCTGAGGTCTGTGGCAGCTAGCATAGCCAGAAAATAATACATGGGCTCATGAAGACTTTGCTCAACTTTGATGACAATAAGGATGATGACATTACCCAGGACTGTGGTACTGTAAAGAAGACAGAGGGGCAAGGCCAACCAGAAGTCCTTCTCTGGCATTCCTGGGATCCCAGTCAGTGTGAAGGTCTGCTGGTTATCAGTAGTTTGGTTGAATGGTGGCATAGTGGAATGCAAGTCTGAGTAGGTGAAAGGAGAAAAACTTATTAAGTCAACCAGTCTTCAATACGAATCAGTGGCAGTAAGTAATGAAATGGCAGTCCTAAGAGAGAGTGAGTTAAATTTTACTTTAACACACTCATGTCCACAGTCCTATAAAGAAACAAATGGCCCTGCCCCATGGAGCAATAATTCTATTACTGAACATTATATACTAAAATGCAAGGGGGATAAAACAACTTCAATCAACACCCCACCCAATAGGGAAAGAGTTCATGTAGAAACATCAAAGAGTTAGCTGTCTTATTTCTTTGCTAAGGAGGAATTTTTTTTTAAGATTTTATTTATTTATTTTTAGAGAGGGAAGGGAGGGAGATAGATAGAGAGAGAGAGAGAGAGAGAGAAACATCAATGTGCGGTTGCTGGGAGTTATGGCCTGCAACCCAGGAATGTACCCTGGCTGGGAATCGAACCTGGGACACTTTGGTTCCCAGCCCGCGCTCAATCCAATGAGCTACGCCAGCCAGGGCTTCTAAGGAGGAATTTGACACTGCACATTTATGCAGGTAATGAACACCAATGCCCATACCCATATAGGAAATATTAGCAAACACAAACATAACATACAGGCCATTCATAAACACAGATGTGCAAGTGTGTGCATATGTGTATATCTTTATTGTGATGTTCAATTGTTGGGATTTAGACATGATTCTCTTTGGTACTCAATTTTTCAGCTGCATGATATAGAACAGAGGAGAAAAATACTCCTTAATGATTTTACAACTCTGGCCTTCTACATTCCTAGGAGTGTGTGGGTACGAAAAAGACCTGAGCATGCAACAGGCAGTGGGGGGATAAGTTACTTTGTCTCCCAGGGAACTTTGGAAAGACACACCCTGGAAAGCATAATAATAGTCTCTAAGGATGTTAGAGACCTAATTATTTAGAGACCTAATTATTTGCCAGCTTGTACTGGCAAAAGGGACTTTGCAGATGTGATCAAAGTTAAAGATCTTGAGATGGTAAATTTATCTTGGATTATGCAGGTAAGTCAAAACTAATCATATGAGTCCTCAAAAGTGAGAACATTTTCCCAGCTTCAGAGAACCAGAGAGAAAGCAGCATGAGAGAACCTCAACATGACTTATTAATTTTGAAGATAAGGAAGGGGACCAAGAGCAAAGGAAGATGGGTAGCCTCTAGAAGTTGGAAAAAGCAAGGCAACAGGATTTTTTCTAGTCTTCAGAAAGGGATACAGATTTGCTGATGCTTTAATTTTAGCCCAGTGAAAGCCATTGCTGGACTTCTGACCTATAGAATTGTGAGATAATAAGTTATTTACAGGCACTAGGTTTGTAGCAATTTTTATTACAGACACACTAATAAAAAGCATATAGCTGGAGGAGCCAGCAAAGACTTGCTTTAGCACATCTTCAGAAATATTCCAAGTCTACCCATTCAGTCTCATTTACTCAGGCCCTGTGTTTTCCTACAGTATGTTCTTCATTTTTCATGGCAGTTAGACTTCTCTGTCCTCAGGTATATCTGGAAAGGAATTCTGAGATCCATTTCTCTGCTACACCTCATGGAGCAGAATGCCCTCTAGTACTTGCAAAGAGTATTACAGTTTGCAATTGGTTCAGTCAGACAAAACCTATTCATGGAGTATCTCCCAAAGACTGGTTCAAACTTTGTTTACATGGTCTGAATGTCATGAAAGTGACATTGGTCTGAAAGCCAATCGCCCCGGTGTTGGAAACTCAACTAGGCTTAACTTCTCATGGTCTGAATTTCATACTACTTTGTGGCTCTTCTAATACACTGTACCCTAAGTTACCAGCAACTGTATTTCCTACAGTAACTCCGTTAAGGCTTAGATAGACCCATGGGCCATTATAGACATTAATGACTAACACTTGCAGTGACAAAAATTGATATTAAAATCTTGGTGCCACATAATTAGATTTCTCCTATTTAAATTATTTACTGTTATCTTAAGGAAGATATATCCAAATGCACAGCTGAGCTAGTACCTTTTTGGGAAGCTAGCCTAAGCCACACAGCTGGTAAGGGTTCAGGACTGAATGAAAGAGCAGTGCTGCAGAGGCTCTTAATGCTGTTTGTATTCTACCCTTATGAGAATCCCTTATAGAGTCTTCCAAGTAAGAATGGTTACACATGCACACACACAAATACAATAAAAGTTCTCCATAAAAATTAAGTGAAATTGCATATTATTACAGCCCATCTAAGTACACAGGTCAAAGAAACTGGAATAAGAGGCTGGATCAGAGAAAGGAGCAAAGTCTCTAAACAAAATCCAGGGTTGGGCACAAGAGAAGGAATGAATGAAGCTTGGAAAAAGTTACTCCAGGTATCTTGAGGGTCAATAGTTTAGTGCTACACTAAACACATGTGCCTATTTACATTTAAATTAATTAAATTAAAATGTTAGTACCTTAGTAGTATTAACCATGTTTTGAGTGGTTAATAGCCACATTTGGCTAGCAGCTACTATATTGGATATACAGATGTAGAACATTTTCATCATTACAGAAAGTTCTACTGAAATTTGAAAAATTGATACTGTGAATGACAGTTTTAAAGAATGCCAACATTATAGCTGACTTCTTGAAAATCTAAGATCCAATTGGCTTTGAGGGTCTTTCGCTTATATACTATATAACCTCTGTCTCTCTTTACCTATATCTCTCATTTACTCAGGCCCTGTTTTTTCTACAGTATTTTCTTCATTCTTCAATATAAGTAGACATAACTGTCCTAAAGCACTTCTGGAAATTTGCACAGAAAAATAGCTTTAAAACTAAAGGCTCTAAAGAGAGACCACCTGGATTTGAATCCTGGCTCTATAACCTTGAACACATTACTTAATAATCTCTGTATTTCATTCTTTAACTCTTTTAAATGAAAATAAAAATAATATTACATTGTAAAGAATATTCATTGGGATTATTGATAGGGTACTTAGATAAGCACCAGACAAATAATAAACACTAAGTAAAGTTTAGCTATAATCAATACTCATCCATTACTTACAAACTTTGTAATGTTTGATTAACTGTGAAAATTATCTTTCAAAATTTTTACAAGCAATGAAATCTATCTATTGCTAAATGTACCTACCTGCCTACCCATATGTCATTTATATATTTTTATCCAATTCTGTATTACCAAAACTCTCCATCCCTCAGCCACTTTAGGCCAACACTAATCTGGCTTCCAGCTGGAGGTTGTTGCTGTGCTTAAAAGGTGAATTCTGTGGATCTGTGCTCAGCAACTCTCATGTAATCATGAGTGATTACAGTAAATGACTTATTGGAGGCAGGTCCTAGACAAATCAGAAATGAAAAATAATGTACTGGTAGGTAGTCAAAATCAGTAAAAGGAAGAGTAAGGAAAATTGATTCTGAGGGTCTAGTACCACAAAAGAAACAACACCACACTGACCATCTGAGAAACTGAATCCCAAAGACCAGCACAACCCTTCCAGAATGCAAGATGAGAATGGCATACTAGGCTCTTGATTCCTTAAGATCCAATGAACTCAGGAAAAAGCTGGTCATTTTAATTAATTTATTCATTAATGACTTCAGATACATTGAATTCCTACTACATGGGAGACATGCCATGATAATTAGAGAACCAAAAGGAGGAACTTTTTTCTTCCAGGATCCTTAGCCAAGTACACATGAAAAACAAGATCAGAAACAAGAGTGAAATGTCTGTTTGGTGTTGAACAAAGCCATGCCTGAAAGCCATGCCTGAAAACCATGCTCACCATCTTTCTGCTGAGCACAAGTTGAGCACAAGTTGAGAATGTGCTCAGCTTGTATTCTCAGCTGGACTTGGCCTAACTCTGTCCTCATTAATACTAGGGATAGACAATGGAGAAAATCAAATTTAAACTTTGCTCACAACAGGAGGGAAGGAGCTTCTGTGGCTTAAAGAAAAGGGTAAGTGGTGACAGAGGTGGAGGAGAAATACACAAGCAGAATCATTCTCTTCTACCTACTATGAAACTCCAATTCAATGCCCTTTTCCACTCAGGCAGCCAATGGACTTGGAGGACCAGCATGAACATACTATCCTCTTAAAGTGTCTGAGATACAGATTGAAACATAGTTCTTGCCCATTGGTTTTGTTCTCCGTGGGAACAATGGACTAGTCTTTAACTTGGGAAAAAAATATATTTGCTATTTGCCTTGAAATGGGACTTAGAAGGAAAAAGAAATGATCCACAGGGTTCTTTTTTAATTAACCTTTGTTAGAATAACATACTCTCCACTTTAATTCTCACATCTGAGTTAGAAGTGTTAATTCTATTTTTTAAAAAAAGAAGAAAATGGAAAAATAATTCTTGCTGAGACTTTGGAATTCTAGACTCTTTGTAGATATGTAGAAATCACAAGCAATAGGTTTATATGATGCCATAGACAATGAAAAGGGTAATCAGCAGATACTATAAATTATTTTAGTTCTCAAATAAAAAATATAATATTTGTTGATTACTTATTTATTCCCCTGGCTCTGTTTTTAGACTTTTACATATGCCATCTCATTTAATAATCATGAAAACCTTATGAGAAATTACTGTTTATTATTGCCACTGTATGCCTGAGTAAAACAAGGGTGAGATAAGTTAATTATCTTGACCCAAATTTCTAAACTAAAACTTAAATTGAGGTGCTCTAATCATTCTGTTTTAAAGTTCTATTTGGTCCTAAAGGAAATGACTAACTTTAAGTCTCAGGGACAATGTCTGCCACCAAATTCAAATTCCAGACTAAACAATAGACTAGCGTCTATAGACATGACCTCCTTCACCCTTACCACTCAATTTTGACATTTAAAGATTTTTCTATGAACTGTCCATATTATAATCACCTCCAATCTATGGCAGCATCCTCAGAGAAGGCACTACCCAGGCTTCAGGTCGTTTCCCCACTCACCCTAAGCCTCATCTAGGAGATGAGAGTCGTTTC